GTACGTTTGTTTCAAATTTTTATTCAACATTTTATGGATTCAATGCAATGAATCTTTTACCTCTTAGCATTTATAGCCTCCTTTGTTTTGTTCACTTCTTCGATGTTTTCAATTTCAACCTTCAATCCTTCCACCTCAATTCCAACCTGCGAGAGTTCATGTTTCAAACGTTCAGTTATTCTTCTTGATTTGTAATCTTCAAGAATTTTTAGAAATATCTCGTCTGTTGAACAACTAATAAAAACACGAAGAGACCCTGGTTCGATTTTATCCACGTTTTCTTCACCGAAGGTTTTTTTCACGGCCTCATCAAGTGATGGTTTTATCCTGTCGTAGCCGTACAAAGTACCCAGTGAAATCACTGCAGCTCCGAGGGCAACGAACCCACTAAATTTGAGCAATTCTTTTGCCACGCGTACATTTGTGGTACTAGCTTTGAATGCAATTATATAGGGGTTTTGTTCTTTTCCAAATCTTAAACTTGTTTCAAAAGCACCTTTCTCCACCCCCTGTGCTTTACTTTTGAGAGCTCCCATACTGATTAAAGTTGCGCTAGAAATATAAAGTAAGAAGTACATTAAAAACGCTTCAGATGCTACCGCAGGTGTCTATATAAAGGACCATTTTTATTTCACATAAAGACAAAAAAATATATAAACTCCGCTCCGTTAAACCAGAATTTTAATATGTAACAAATAATGCCTTGCCTTGATGTAATGGAGTTTATTTCAGCTCAATATAATTTTTGTAGTTTTCTGTTTTGTAAAATACTTTTTCCAGCAGCCGAAGTGCACCCAAGCTGCCAAGCAAGATAATAAACGAATTTGATAATATATAAATAAGGAGTGTTAATTCTTGGAACAGTTTATAGTCAGAGAAGGTGTAACTAAACCGCGCAATCGAGTAATTGAATGTGGATATGTTTTACTGTAATGCATGTGGGCTACCTTTGGCTTTGGAGGTTCAATATTTTCTAAACCAGGCACACTACGACCTTGAAGTAAAAGTCCAAATCAGTCGTAGCGAAAATTATATAGCGTAAATCATTGCATGTTCATCCATCTAAATGCTCATGCAGAAGATGTATACATCATCGATGTATATTGTTGCCTGGACATTTAGATGGAAATATAACAACTTTAAAACTATGAGACTTTCACTGACCTTGCATGCTCGTATATATACGTTTTGTTACGATGCAGTTGAAGTCGGGAAACTATTAAACACTTAGGAAGTACAATTCACCATGCATTTTGCGGTATTTTCAAGGAAGTCATACTATATATATATATATATATATATATATATATATATATATATATATATATATATATATATATATATATAAATATATAATATATATAGATATATATATATTATATAGATAATATATATATATATATATTTAACAGTTAATTTGCGAACTCGAGTCGTATATGAGCTGATAGTCGACGAGGCGCGTAGCGCCGAGTTAGCTATCGGCCATATACGACGAGAGTGAGCAGAATAACTGTTTTATTATATACACAAACTTTGTCGCCCTTTCGGTGCATTTTGGTGTGCTATTATCATCTAAGGCTTGGATTTCTATTTCACTGAACTCCTCAAATCTTTCAGCCATTTTGTTTACTTTCTCTACTAGACAGATATGAGCTAATATCTGTCTAGTAGCCAACCAATGAAATTGCAGCATACCTCATATCTGGCGCTTGTGTATATAATAAATATATATATATTATATGCTCTTTTGTTTTTAGACAATCGCACCTACTATATACGCGTATTTTGGCAGTATTTTTTAGAAATCACGTTTTTTACGAGCTTTTGGTGTGAACATCCTGACCTTCTGGGCCGGTTGTATCAAGCCTTAAACCACTGCGTATCCACGTATCCACACAAAACTTATACTTACATTTATCTTACGTCATGCATATATTTCTCATGTCTTATTAACTTATGCTTCCTATCTTACCTATTCACGCGCCTCGTTTAGAAAAACTAATTTAACTACGTATCAACGTATCCACGTATCCATGGTATTTTAAAGGCATCGCTTAAAAAATTGCGGGGTACTCTGCAATCGCTCCGCTTAAAAGGTGGATAAGTCAAAAAGAAATAACACTCTTACATCTCTCTTGAATGAGTCAACTTGAATATTATGCACTGCATGAATATGTAGTTGTAAACAGTATCTTTGAATAAGGTTAAAATATTTAGTTTGCTTGTTAAATAAAACGGCAGACTTGCTTTCTATTTTGAACTTATTCACCGTTTAAGCTAAACGGGCCTGATACAACCGGCCCCAGTATGCTATTTGACTATCCAAAAACTCCATGCAAACATATTGATGTGACTTCAAATTGCGGTATAATTTCATAATTACATAAACCTGTTATTGGACTCGACCGCGTACGGAATATGTCTGTTGCTTGCTATCTTGACTAGAATTTCCAACTCTTTCCCCTCAATTTACAGTGCAATATCTTATTGCCTTGTGTCAGGTATATAAACATTCTCATTATGACTTAAACGAATGGAGTATTCACCTACTTTTAACCAGATCTTCATTTTCCTATGGCTAAAAGCCAAGGCAAGCCAACTTTTTTATGATGCATGGAAATCATGGGTGATTGAGATAATTTTTGGCTTACCTGACTAAAATAGACCAACAACTACTGTATGATCGGTGTCTGTAATGTTCGATAATTTGTGTATATGCATGTGAACTTATTTTTTCCACACGAGCTCCCCAATGGATGAACGAAATAGCTTTCAGTTTGCGTCTTTCACTGCACAGCATGAGGTAATAAGAATTTCAAATGAGTGCTTGACTAACATTTGTCACCTGCTATTATGTTTACATGCATGATATCCGGTTGTGTGTTGTGGAAACATGCAGCCAAGCTTCCAATGTTAGGCTAGGTTTTCACGAAATCTCTTCAGTTAGATGCAGATAATATTTTTGCTAGTTTGTCGTAAATTGACGGTTTAAGAACTTTTTTAAGGATTTGAGTGAGAGTCAGCCTTGAATATTTTGAGGTTCATACACATACATACATAAATACGAAATTGCACCGTGATATATTTGTAACCAAGCACAAAGTTGACGAATATATATAGTGGGTACTGTTACAAAGGCAGCTGCAGTTTTGTCACAGATTGATAATTAAGAACATTAAATACACAAAGAATAAAAATTATTCCCAAATACTATTTCTTAAGTTTCTATAATATGCTGAAGGTTAATTAAGTCAAGTCAATTGCATGTGTTCATCTTTTTATTTTATTTTACTTCATTTCACTAAAGTAGCATTTACCATTTGGTTATTTAGATATATTTCTTATTCCATGCCTTAGTACTGCTGTGATTACATATTCTCAAATACCCATCACGTTTTGATATTAGAGACATTTAATTAGTTTGACGTTTACGGCAAGCCGCAAACCGCGGTTTCACGTTAGCGGTGTGACGTTGCCGTTGTAGCAAATTTGACATTTAGTTTCATTTACCTATACCTTATGTTAGAACGATTCAAAGTTGGCATCCATTAAACAGTTTCGCTGTTAAATTGCTGCTAGCTATTTCTAATGCTTAAATTTTTTCAAAATCAAATGTCGTTTACACGTGGAAAAGTTGAAAAGAACGTCAAACTAAATGTCATCTCTAATTTCATCCGCACCTTGATCGATATCGTCTCTGTCTTCACCGAATGCATGTTTAACAGCGCTCTCGACTAATGGTTTTAACACTTTATAAGCAAGCAACACACCAAGTGAAGCGCTCCCGATTGCGAGGCCGACATATCCAACAAGTCCACATAATTCTTTTGCCATATCTATGTTATCTGTACTGATGTGGATTGCAATTTTAATCCCTTCAGGCAGTTTAAGGAGCGTCAAACTAGCGTCCAGTGCTCCCTTGGCAACATCCAGAGCTGTTTTTCCAGCTACGGAAACAGCCATCACAAAATTGCGCTGTCGAATTAAAAATAAGATTCAAGAGGTATAAATAAAGATAATAACTAAAAATAAAGTCGATAAACATAACAAAATCCATTTCTGTGAAAGCTTTTTTACTGGTATTTCTCTCGTAGGGGAGTCGGACTGGTCTCACTGTATATATTTTGCGCGTATTTTTTGGGCATTCAAGCTGCGTTGTGTTTTGCGGGTATTTGCAATACCGTCTTATTAATTTATCAGATTACGAGCGATCAGACACAGCTATACCTTACGTATTTTGCAAGGCAAGCTCGTGAACTGAATCTTGATGCCCATAATTTCCTTACACACTAAAGACATTTGACAAAAGCGAATTTGAGATATATTTATTTCTTGTGTACAGTTGAGAAATTGACTATGAAACAAACCGACATTGAGACCATAGCTGATGCTTAACTTACCTGAATTAAATATATCCGTGCTACTTATAACCACTAAAGTTCAATGATCTGTTTATTGTGAGTTTTATCTATCGACACGCCACACCACTAGTGAGCTAAATCAACTGGTTATCTGAACATTAAAGTACTTTCATTTTTTGCTTTTCTTCTGGTCGTATTATGCGGAATTTATGCCTTTCGTTTGCTCGCACTGCATGAGGAAATAAGTATTTTAAATTAGTTCCCGGAAGAGTTTCTCGTATATAGAAAATACATACCCGAGAAGCGACCTTTCACCCTATCTTTTTATGGCATGACAGATTGAACAGCTTTTGGGCTGGGTTGCACAAAGAATGCTATATAATTATATTTACAAGAAAAGTCGCTCTAAAATTACCCATTGCTCAGATTCTGGTAGAAATATAAATCTTATTAATTTGTTTAGCTACTCCAAATTCGTAGTCTTACATTTACAACACTCTAAAATTCACTATCCAGTCCTTACAATGAACTCTGCGCCAAGCATTAGCAAGGTACAGGTCAGTCTGCCATCTTCACTTATCTGCCCATGCATTGTTTAACTTTAAAATTTAAATACAAAACGTACATTTCCATTTGCAGACATGCGCAACCGATTCTCTGGCAAGGAGAAGACGAAAACAGACGCCGGTGTTGAAGATGTGCCGACGGCGAGCTCTCAAATCATTCCTGCTGATGAAAATGAGGGACTCGTTGCTTTTCTCACCCAACCACAAGATCCAGCGAATCTTGGGATATTTCGAATATTGTTTGGTAATGACAAGCACACATTTATTAATGAAATATAATCAGTCGTGATATTCAACTTTCTCTACTGAAGTCTGAAGCGATGATCACGAACCAATCAAATTCGAAACAGCTGCCAGGTCAACCAATCACAAGCGCTCTAGGTTAGCGAAAGCTCGCGGTTGCTTGGCCAAAATGTAGTTTACACTTTTCATTTAAATTTCCCGAATGGAAAACTGGTTTTTGGATGGTAATGTTCCCTGATGTGTACTCCTTTACTGAGTATTTTATCTGTTTAATTTCAGACAACTTTGCTTGTCTGAGACAGAGCAATCCTATAGACATTATCTCACCAAACTATCTGAATCTTTTTCATTTTATCCCAGGTATTCTGATGATGATTGACATCCCCCAAGAAAGAGGTATGTCAACGGTTGCCAATCGCTGGGAAGACTCAACCATGTGTTTCTTTCCGCTATTTGATTGGCTAAAACCTCTGCCTGTTGATTGGATGTATGTTGTCTACCTTGTCATGTTTCTGGCCGCGTTTGGAATTGCAGTAGGTTGGTAACAAGCTAAGATATATGGTATTATGTATCTATTGAAAATATACAAAAGCATTGAACTTACTGGTGTTGTATTCAAAGTAAATTCACCCAGAACAGAATTAAGGGACCAACCCAAGTTGTATTTAAGTCAGTTTTTAAGCGTTACAAGACTGTCGATCAAAGTTGTCGATCAAAGTTATCGATCAGTTTAAAGTAAAGTTTATTACTTACCGTCCTCAACCTTCACTCATGTTTGTCATGCACCCTAGGCTGGTGCTACAGATCGAGTTGTGTTCTGTTCATCGTGACGTATTGGTATATATTTTTCTTGGATAAAACTGTCTGGAATAATCATTCATACCTGTACGGTCTCATATCGATAATGTTACTAATGACTAATGCCAACAGATATTGGTAAGTAACCGTTATTTTTCAGTGTGAAATGTAAGTGGATTAAATCCTGTGCAATAATCTTAACGTGTCTTTTCATGTTCAAGCAATTCCACAGAGAAGTCAGGTCAAAGAGTTCTCCACGTCATTCAGTCATGATCTACTGTGTTGAAGGTTTCCGCGTTATTTTTAATTGTCTCCAAAATCTCACCGTTTTTCTGAACAACTTTCCTAGGTCTATTGATGGTTATTTTGATGAATCAATCAGAAACACTTGTGTGCCGAGATGGAACTATTGGTTGATAAAATTCCAGGTAGGTGTTATTATACTAGATCATTTAGAAACGCAGAAATCTATCCAATCTAGTTATTTATCGAATATATACAAAGACTGTATGCGAGAAACAGTTTAAAACTGATAGAGCTATATGAACATATATTGGTTTTGACCTTGTTTACAACCGATGGAACTAAACGGTGGATAGACTCGAAAAAAAGAGGCAAATTTGCACATCTATCACAGCGGAAAACGAAAGATTTTCAATCTGAATGCAAACGATAGTGTTTACAACAACACATCAGTTTCACATGCAGTCGTCCACAACATGTATGAAAGTGTCCTTTTTTATTGGCTTATATCAACCGCTTAAATTTAAACTAGTTTTGTACAACCGACCCTTGATAATAAGTTTGCTAGCCCGACGTAATATCGCTCCGTCATTTTTCAGATTTTCCTGGTCTACTTCTTCGCTGGGGTCAAGAAATTAGACATGGACTGGATTTCAGGGTACTCCATGACTGGGCTGTCCAAAAAATGGGTTTTCGATCCATTTCGCATGTTTGCGTCTGACGAGTTCATCGAATTATTCATGGTTCATATTTGTGGATTAATGTTCGACCTCTCGGAAGGATTTCTCTTGCTGTTTGATAAAACACGACCTGTAGGTCTATTCTTTGGATCTATGTTTCATCTGATGAATTCCCAAATGTTTCACATCGGGATGTTTCCGTGGGCCATGCTCGCGACAATGCCCTTCTTCTTTCGTTGTGATTGGCCAAGACGTTTGTCCCGCGCGATGCCCGCGTGTTTCGTGTACTTTCTCCCACTACAAGATGATCCCAAAGTGGACGCACGCTTTACCACGGGAAAGCTTCAAAACAGGAATGCAGTTGCTCAGCAACCAGGTGACGAATGCGAGGAACGTTATGTATACATTAGGAAAGCGTTTTTGATTGGTTTAGCAAGCTTTTACGTCGCGATTCAACTTTTTCTACCCTGGTCACATTTCATTACACAGGTTGGTTTCAGCAACAAATATTTTTGATTAATCGTAAGTGTGACAATAGCAAAAATAAATATTATAAACTCTCAACGATGCTGTCTCACCAGACTGTCAACATATATGCTAAATTCACATTCTCATATAACTAAAATTTCTGTTTTTTCATTTCTAGGGATACAATGCCTGGACAAACGGACTTTACGGGTATTCATGGGATATGATGGTACATTCGTGGAGCACACAACATATTCGCGTTACAGTTGTTGACGTTGAAACAGATATGTCGCACTTTCTCATTCCCGGGGTATGAAATTCAGCGGAGTGAAGAACCGTTATTCGAAACAAATTACTTTAAAAAGGGTGCCTGTGACATAGAGAGGTTAATGCATGATTTACCTCAAATGTAAGAGCACATGCAGTGGTTAGTTCATGTGTCTTTCATCTCTGTGACTGAGGTTTGATTCCTGTTATATGCAGTTGTCTGATTATAATTTCACCTCAGTCACATGTGAGAAAAGTGCTTTCAGTTTGACTCTATCAAACACAGTGGTTAGTTCATGTGTCTTTCATCTCTGTGACTGAGGTTTGATTCCGGTAATATGCAGTTGTTTGATTATAATTTCACCTCAGTCACATGTGAGAAGAATGCTTCCAGTTTGACTCTACCAAACACAGTGGTGCTTCGATTTTTGCAGGTGTGGATTGCTGGTCGATCTCGGAGGCGATCACGCTGGTCCTCGCATCCCGATATGACGAAGCAATACGCGACGTGTCTCGCGAGGAAACTGCGCGATCACGCAGCAATCAACATCAGCAATCCCGCGATATACTTCGACATTTGGCGCTCGATGAACGGGCGGTTTCAGCAACGTATGTTCGACCCCAGAGTCGACATCGTGAAAGCCCCGTGGTCGCCATTCAAGAAAACAGAATGGGTTCTGCCATTGATGATCGATCTCTCGCCTTGGAGAACTAAACTAAACGAGATGGAAAAGGAAATGTCGAGAAAAAGCAATTACACTGAAGTTGTGTTTGTCGCAGATTTTCCAGGGCTTCATTTGGAAAATTTCGTAAAGGAAGATTTGAACACATCGATAACGGTTCTCGAGGGAAAAGTGATCGTGGAACAAGGGGGACACAATGTGACTTTAGAGAAGAATGGGGTTCATACGGTACATTCCAATGATACCCACATTGTTCATACAGTGTCCCAGGTGCCCTCTTGCTGGATGTACGTGTACACAAATACGACTTTGGCTAACAACGTCACCTTGCAAGACATTGAAAATGAACACAGGAGTAAGTTTTTTTGCATTATTATTTTCTGGTCATGTTTACGTTAGAGTAATCTACAATAAGCTGTTGTGGTTTGTGTCTGAACTACCTGAAAAAAGATATCTCAAACGTGGTGATCTAGTGTAGGTAGTATTCTAAAATAAGCTGTTGTGGTTTGTATCTGAACTACCTGAGAAAGATATCTCAAATGTGGTGGAAATCTCTGAATATTTTGCCTTATTTTTCAGTGGCCTTTAAAAGAAACGCTAGTATGTGGGAAAACCTGACAGTGGTTGAAAAGTTTGAATATTTCATGATGAATAAGATGCACATATTTGGAGGAAGCTTTAGAGATTCATTTTATGCTGTTAAAAATATTGTTTATGGTCATGAGGTGAACAACGATGATATTGATCATGATGACGTTGGAACAAACGAGAATGAAAAAGACGAAGGTGAATTGTAAAGATATGCGGTTACTTAAATACACTCATTCAATAATGGTGAAATACTTTAAATGTTTTGTGCAAATGAGTAAATTTAGTTCAGAGATCTTCATAGCAACCTACCATGCAAGCTAGAATTCGTAGCCTGTCTGTACGTAGTTTAGTTATACTTTGCTGTTCATAAAAATATTTTAAAACACACACATAAATAGTTAATAGACGTTGATTTTCCACTTCAAACTTTTAATATTTATTTCAATTGATTTTTAGAATTACAATTAGCGAAATAAATGTCTTAAAATATATATTTATCTTGTTAGAATAGCTCTCACTACCACTTGAGTATCATCATTCATCAATTTAATCTTCGTTCGAAGATAAACGAGGTTTTAAATATTTATCATACAAAATACCACTTCAATATTGTTATAAAATGTATGCTCCTATTATTTCGCTAAATACTGTATTTCAGCCAAGGTTTTGTACTAAACTTCAGTTTAGTAATCGGAGTTCGTAGTTTGTTTTTTAAATAAACGAAGGCAGCAAATATAGTGAAAGCAAAAATAACCGCCATTGTAACAGCGACTATAATTCCCGGAGATATTTCGTGTTTTCTGTCCTCTGCCTCGTGATGATTGGAATCACTCATGCTGTTTAGCTTTGTCGAAAAATATGGCAAATCCTAAAAAAAACAGTGCAGAAATGAATCATTCAAACCGGCATCAAATACTACACGAAACATTGATGAAGGATGTTCACTTTTGAATTACAAGAAAGACAATGGCACCTTCGTAGGACATTGTATATTTTGTTGTTCCGGCCATCTTGAGTATTTCTTGTTTATCGGTTCAAACTATATACGCATGGAAAATGAATTGAATAAAATGAAGAATAGTTACGCCATAAATAATAATCATGCATCATTTGCATTCGTTCAAAACTTGACAAACAAACAATGAAAACGTTATCAAAATGGGACAAATCGTAATGACTTGTTACAAAAAGCAGGTTTTATACGACTCACCATATTGTTCCACAAGGCAGCAGCTGCCATTGCATTTCCTTTCGCAGATAAATGGAGACAATCCAATGAAAATAACTCACGATTCTGTAGAAATATGAAGAAAGCAAGGAATGAGGATTTTATAACTGATCAAGCTATCCATAGAACCAGTATAAACTATTATTTAAGTTAGTTTAGTTTATGCCATATTTTGAAACGTTACCTCAGAGACATGCAAGGAGAGATCTTCAAAAACTGGTTGAATAACAACGGTAAAATCGTCTGTTCTGTCGTAAACACCACTGTCAATCAACTCGTAAACAAGATTCTAAACAAACAATTTTATTCGTTAATTTTAACTAAAATCGGACTCCATTACCTGGGCTGCTGTTTTTCATTGAAAAAATCAAAGCAGACATTTCCTTAGATCTTACTTTGTACCCTTCGTAAAAATGTGAGATTCTCTCACTCCTGGACTTATCTCTCAAGCAAGGGCATATAGACCTGGAAAAAAGATGTGTCCATATGAGAACTGCATGGATGCAAGCATGGAGTGGTATGATATTGATAAACTTCAACTACAAACTTACCAGTTTCCAATCCTGCACTGCCCAGGAACATTCAAAGCGAAGAGTGATGAAACGTTCAACGGCAGAATGAGGTTTACAAAAGTCTTTGGCAGCTGAAGAAGGCCGAAAAACGATGTATTTTACGACTAAATACAATACAATGCGACAACAGTTCATTTTATTCGTTAGCAAAAAATTAAACCTACTTTCATTTGCAACGTGTCCAACGTCTTGACCAGAGATTCGATGTAAATATCCGGAGTTATTTCATCCTATAATAATTATTAAAATTAACCGAAAAATTATTCTGCTTAATTTAACCGAGAGAAGAGATTCTCGTTTTAAAAAAATTACCAGGTTTCCACACAGCCTACAGAGATCTCTCGAGCCAGACATAATATTAACTAGCTTCCAATCTTTCTTGAAATCAATTTTCTATAGAGTACATACAAGTAAAGAGTTCTTTACAATCTGCACTTCGGAAGGATGATTAATGAATCTGTGAGCAGATATCGACTGCTGCTAAAAGTGTGTAAAGTAACTCTATTGACCTTATCCCGTTTCACTTGAGATATAAGTTGGTGTGCTTGTGCTTCCAAATGCCTGCAAAGGGAAAATGTATTTAGACACTTCTAAGGGAGACACTTTATAGGTCAAAAGATCTACTTGCAAACCTGGATGTAGCAGAAACGGTTGCCAAATTCAGTCCAGAATTTTTCTGGTAGTGTCTCGCTGTGTTCGTTGAGTATCCTCTCAATTTCGGATTAAATCTCTTTAGCAAATCTTCAAGTTGAGAAAACGAACGTTTTAATACGATTCATAAACAAATTAACGAATCACATTAACTGATCTTTGTGAACAAGATCTTTACACAAGGTCTTTAGATTATCAAGATAGTTTATCATTTACATACTGGGCAGCGTTAAAACGTCTTCAATACTCGCATCTCCGCCATTACTGAAAAACAGATATGACCTCATTAAGAGACGACTCCTTACTCCGAGTTGTATTTTTACCAACCCTTTTTCCCCAAATTTCGTAGTTCTCCAACATAGTTAAGTCTATCTCTTCAACATACTACTCCATAGAATCTGGTATTGATTTTATTTTTAATCCCCCTCATCCCACTTCCGCTCATCACTGCCACAGCCCCCTCTCCCCATGCACCTACCCCATCCGCGCAACATTAATCAGGCAGCTATGGCCGTCTCTGGGGCAATGGGACAAGGTTTATTTTTATAGTTTCTGTACTAAGTATAAAGTATTGTGACTCCAGAGCCAGATAAGCTACATATGCTATGCCAAGCAAGCCTTATCTAAGTAAAGAGCGTCGCTGTTTTATCTCGTATTAGCATAAGGTAGGCTTTGTTGTCTGTCATTCAATGAATATCGTATGTTTATATAAAATTTAATTAAGTTGAAGTGTGTCATCCACTTGAGATATAGTTTACACTTTCAAGGATCGACCGTTCTCCATTGGGAAGAATTGTTCGCACGCACATTTATAAGATACCAAATTATCTCAATAATATTCTATGGGAAAAGTTTCAAAAAGTCGTAGGAGCGACTTCATTTTTAGTGCATGGGGAACTTCGTCGAGCACGTTTTCATGAAGGAAAGCCAGAGGCAAGTCAGGCAACTATACCGCAGTGCCTCTAAATACACTGGCCACTGCCTTTGTGTCGTATTCCCCATATTGCGAAAATTGCCTATTATTGTTACAAGTAAATATATCTGTCCTTTTTTTAAAATACGATATTTTCCCTGGCTGCGTCGGGCAAAGACTGGCCTTTTCTAGGAGATGACAAGTAAAATCGCTGAGCTGTAATGAGTGTAATCAATATTGGTTCGAATCTATTTATTCCAACTGACGTCAAATATATGTTTGTTTTCTTTATGCAAAATTGGCTTGTTATGTTTTCATTATGTCAAGGAACTGCGCTCGCTATAGATACTGAGGCGAACATCTGTTGCAGGAAAGTTGAAAGCAAAAAGCGAATATGATGAAGAACATTTCAACCCGTGTCGCTGCTCATTTTCTCAGCATCACATTATTATCATGTTCTGTAGAAGGTGAGCAGTCAATATTTTTTACAGAAACCCCGCAAAATTACGCAAGCGTTAATTTTAGAACTGTACTTTTAAATACATATTGTCTGACATTTGAAGGAGAGGGGGGAGGAATTGAGGAATCCCCCGAAATATCGAATATTTCTCAGCGGGTGATCCAAGCAGGCCTGTCATGAACCAAAACTCACTACACTTACCTATGCTAAAATATTGATATATTAATTTAACGGGGTTAAGATTACCAGAAGTTTTAATTTTATCCAAACGTGAAAATTTCCCCATTTTGTCGATCATATCCACGACAGTCCGTCATTTTCTCACATAAACCACATTATAAACCTGATGCTCATAAGTCACCGAAGACACCGATATAGTCGGTGATGACTATTCTCGGTGATCACTGTAATAAATTACTTTAATTGTTATTTTGAATTATTCACCGATTGTAAACAATACACATTAGCGATACACCTTCGGTGCCGTTTGAAAACCAGTCTTCACATTCGCGCCTATATTTTGTTCGTCCAAAGATTGTGGTGAAATCGTGTGGTTTTTTTAGGGAGATGCAAGTGTGTGAACTACGACCGGGATTGGTATGTTGTCGTGTGCTCGTTCGCTAGTGGTTTAGTAATCGCCGCGCTCCTCGCGTGTTTGTTAAACTGGTATTGCAGGCGATGTGAACAAGTTAGACACGTCGCCGCAGACGCCGGGTCCAGAGAGGCACTCGAGATGCAAAATCGCGGCGATTTCAATCCTTTCTACGAGGAACTACCAGACCAGAGGTCGCGGGATGACACATCTGAAGAAACCGGAATCTTCAAGCAGCAATTTGGGTACGCTGTGTTGAACGAAGGCGCTAATAACGAATTAATTTTTTTATAGTATCACCTTTTTATAGAGGCGCAAATTGTGCGTATTTCTATTGCGCAAATTATGCATTTTTACTGCGCTGATTACGCATATCTCAAAAGTGCAAATTCAATATGCAACCGTCCATTTTTACTGCCTTTCTCATTAGGTCTGATTCGATGGAATCCCAAATCAGTGTGTTTGAGTTTCATGGAGAATCCAGTAAACTAGGAGATTATCAACATCCAAGGCCTGCCGACGAACCCATCTACAATAACTGTGGTGGGATAGATGGAGGTAATGATGGTGCATCAGGGTTGCAAGAGCATGGTTGGGGATCAGAGTTTGGTGCGTCCACCGGGACAGGAAGCTATCAACATCCTAGACCGGAACCAACCGCATTTGAACCAGAACTTTACGAAAACCAGCAGGAAATCTCCCGCAAAGACCAGGTCAGTTCACCAGAAAACTACCAAGAGCCTAAGCCTACTTACAATGGTACCCAGGATAGTAGGTCACCCCTTCCATCAAGGCCCAAAGTGGCACTAACGAAACCACCCCGATATACGAAACCTCAATCAAAATCACGAGAACCTAAAGGACCACCACACTACCAGACACCTTCACTGCCACACCCTACCCCCAGAACAACCGATCAAACACCAGCATCAAAATCATCGCAACCACCTTCTGACTACAATCAACCTAAAGAATATACGAACGTTTCAAGTGAAAACGCGAAAAACTTAGGCGATTGCGAAGCTACTGAGTTCGTACCATCAATAGAAATTATTCCAACTGCGACGTCAATATCCAAAACATCATCACCTAAGATGAGCCAAAATCAGTCAAATCAACAGTTCCAAGAAATGGATATAAAGTTCCCAGAAAGCAAGAATATCCAAGGTGAACCAACTGCAGCCATCATAACTGCCCCATCTTTGTGTAGGGAAGAAATGAAGCGTGTTTCAAATTATCAACTTCCGGAAATAGATTTCGAGTTCTTACAAAGTAAAGACAATCCATCATGTTCCTCGTCGTCTCGTCCTACACCACAACCATCACCGAATATAGCACCACCAAGTTCGTTGCCATCAGCGCTACCATCAAAAACACCTTCTCCAGGAATCTCCGCGTCATCACCTCCAGATTCACCATCAGAACCGTTACCAGTGAAATCACCAGTGATACCAACATGTTCAATTACCAAACCAGTCGTACCACCAATACCACCAAAAATGAAATCGATAGATTCCCAAGTTCCACCACCTCTACCATCAAAGACACCGCCACCAAACTCGCCAGAGATATCACTCCAGTCAACACCTTGCAGTCAACAAATTTCACTCCAGTCAACACCTCCATCTTTTCCCTCAAATACAACGCCATCACCACCGTCCTCAGCGACAACCAAACCATCGTCGGCTCCTTCATTATCTTTGTATGCTGAATTGAATGAGCTTGATCGTCGAGATGATACCGAAGACTACCAACATTTAACCTCGATGACAAAGCAATGATAATCTCAGCGAACTGAGATCATTCTAGTTTGTTAGTTCTATCTAGGCAAGACATGAAATAGGCCCTTCCAGCATTTGAACAGTGAAGAGAAATGGCAGGTGAAGGTTAAAAGAAAATATCATTTATATTTTTGCGGATGTATTACGTTCTGTCGTAAACTGTTGCTTTGTTTTTGAAATTTGTATCTGAATCGGTTATATTCACGGACAGATCATTGTAGATTTGAATGGCCAAACTATTTAGACTGGTAAATACAATTACCTCCACGATATTCCACGGAACTCTGTGAAAAAACGAGCCGTTGTTGTGGTATCTGCTCCCAGTCCGATCTGAAAGACGTACAGTGTAATGTTTAATATTCAATTTTTTATTTGCGATCAACATCAATACTTAACACCAATACGTTATGCTTATGCAATATAGCTCACCATGAGAGAATCGCCAAGCGACGCCACCACACTAATATCTTCTGGGGCCAGTGTGTGAACTAAAAAATTCGATCCAAAATAGTAACCATTGGAAGATACAGTTCAGAACTGATAGGCCTGTACAACACCGCCATTACTAGTATTTTTAAAGTTAGTTTAGTTTAGGTTTCCTCCTGTAGTAACTGGATCAATAAGAGATGATCCTTACTGGAACTCTAGGAAGAACAGTTTAGAACTGATAGAGCTATCCAGTATAAATAAAGTTAACACGGATCAATAAGAGATGATCCTTACTGGACCTCTAGGAAGACGATTTTACCAGAAGTCTTAAAAGATTTGCACAATTCCAGATTTCTTTACTTCGCAATTGAATTCTGGTTTTTCGACCTGTTGGTATAAAAATTCCTCATTTTTTTGTTTTGCTGAGAATATTTGCGACGGGAATAAAGATCAATTTGACGCTTATAAGTTTACAAACTTACATAATAATCTGTATTATTTGATTGAATATTCTCCATTAAATTTTTCCTAATAAACGTGGATGAAATGATATGTTCCAAGGTTGTTGGTGGAGGTAAACTTTTGATTAATTGTTCATTGTCCGCTAGTAAATGAAATAATAGTTCGACGTGAAAAATTATGGTTGTGGTTGCATGGGTACTGTACCGTCTGTACGTTAGTTGTTTAGTAATCCTACCGGAAAACAGTTCTTAAGAAACGCATTTCCACGCAAGGTGTGGCAGCATTGTTATCGTTTTATTTATTTCTTTTTATATCGTTTACTTCAAATTGTCAATCCTAATTACGCCATGCTGTATCATACCCAAGCACATAGCATATTCGACTAATGACTGCCAAAACAAAAGATTATGTTACGCTACGAGGCGTTGAAAGTACAAAGCGCTTTCAATTTTATTCAAATTACTCAATAAACTCCACAAATTCGCTTGCAAAAACCAACACGTGCATCGCCGATCTTTGGGTCAAAGACGAAAATAGACTACACATAATTTGGCAAACATTTGTTGTTTTGAATAAACAGCATAATATGGCTGATTCTGGTGTGTTTTATATAGATTTTGTACGGCAAAAGCCACCACACAAGGTATGTAAATGTAAAATTCGTATTTCATGGCCGAAATGTTGTTTTAAAACTATAACTTCATCAGAACTTGAGAAGTCAAATGGTGGCCTTACAACAAAGCTAGAACCGAGGGTTCTCGTTGGAAACATCAGCTTTTCTGTTATAACTTTAGAGTCAGACTGCCATAGTTTATATAAATAATGGATAAGGCAACGGGAGGATGTTGAAATTGTGGCCTCAGGGTGAATTGAGGGGTAATGGATATACTTCAATGTCTAGAACAGCTATAAGATAGTCTTCACTTGGCTGAAAAACTGGTATTATAAACCTAGTTTAACCATGGTTTTACTGTGGCAATTACAACATTAAAAATGAAAAGTGGTAAATTGTACTTATAATAATGTACTCAAAGTGGCTGAGATTGATTATTGGCTAGCAGCTATAGTAATTAATGAAGTCAAATCTTGCTAATGTCAGCAGCAAATTCCAATCATACCTACCCAGAATATCAACAGTCTTTCTCATTTCTCCATAAACACAGACATAGGTCCCAAATAGTTCAACACTTTCAACTTCAAGAGATATCGCTGTGCGCTGCTGGTCATCAGTCCAAAATCTCAGCCCAGTTAAAACATAATGTTCTGGATAGATTTTCTCAAACCTAATCAAATGGTTCCTCAATGCAAAATGTTCTTCTGTTTCAGGTAATGGTGGGTCAACCTTACAGAGCAAACGAAGATTGTTTGCACCTTGTTTGACGACAAGTTTGTCAGTCTTCTTGTCCTGATAGCTGGTACCATCTTTCTCCCAATGGTACGAGATCTCAATTCGTTTTGGTTTAATTGGTGGATAACGAGCATCTAAATTATTCGAACATGATCAAGTAAGCTAGTATATGATTATTAACAGTGCAACATCAACTTGATGAAGAAATTAATTTAATATGCCATGCTTCAAATGCATTCAGTGTACTAGAAATTCTAGTACATCCATGCATTCAAATTAGAAATATTTTGACTTAATTGCTAGTCAAATTATTTTTATTGAATAAATGCCATTGAATTGTGACCATTTTGGCCATCATAGTTTGGCCAGAATCAAAATAAAGCAGCATATTGGTAGCTTATAAAAATATATCTTCTCTTGAAATATGCTTCAGGAGTTGCTATAGACCATGGCCCTTACCAAATTCATACTTTCAGACAATCTCCAATAAGTGAGATGATTACAGACAAAGTATGTGGCCTCGCAAACCAGCTAAACTATAGTACCTCATTTCCAAAGGCATACTTTCACTACACACTTTTGGTCAGGTGAATCCTAAACACACTGGGGCAAGGTATCGCCTGATTGCTCATATATTTACTATTTAGAGACTAGAGTGACCTGTTCAGATAGACCACAGATGAGGCTTAATGAATCCTTTTTACATTACAAAAGTGAAATTAACAGCTTGATTCATAATTCTAGGCTAGGCCTAGACTTCAACTGTAAACACGATAAAGTAAAAATTCGTCCTGATTCATTCAAAATAACTTGCGATCATTTCTTGACACTCACGATCGAGTACGTAACAACTTTTTGAGTAGTGTTTGTGATTGTACATTTGATTGATTCATAAATCGCCTATAATCGATAAACCTACATGCAAAATATTCACGACGCTTAAAATTTCATCAGTCAAACAAGCCATACGCACCTGCGTTTGAATTGAAAATAAGAATATTGAAGAGAAATATGGTATCGAAAATCCCCCTAGCAACAGACGCCATGTTTTATTTACATTTTTTTCCAAATTAGAATGTTTCTAATTTACTTCAGAATTTGAATTATGCTCCGCTAACGACGCATGCTCAGAACTGCAAATCGAAAGGCGCGAATTTTTGCTGTGCCATGATTGGTTCATTTCATGGCGTTTGATTGGCTTAAATAAATAATACCGAGAATGGTAAATCTAGGAAGAAAGTGCAGAGGAATCTGTTGAAAATACAAGTGAGATGCACTTGTATATATTTTGATTTTCGAGCTAAGATTTTCGAGCTAAGGTTACTTCGAAAGCAAAACTGGAAATGGCTATATATTTAGCTAAAAATGACTATAGTATAACATGGAATACATGGATAAATAAATAAAATAATATCCTTATTACGACTAGCCTTAGTAAGTTGCAATAATTGATTTTATTATACTAAAACGCAGTCAGATTCATTTGTATATGAAAATGAATATATCGTTATATAGGTAAACGCTATATGGCTATAAAAATTCGACATTTGTTTACACGTTGAGTCAAAATTTAATTTATTTATGTCCGTCTTACATCACATACACTGACAACCAAGTCCACTACTCTCCATCTCACGAAGAAAGTAATTCATAGGCTGCCCCGTTCTCAAATGACCTTCGTAGGCTTCCAGCCAGACTCTTCCTTTCATAACCACTTCATACAGCGAGGAACGATCCGTCCACTGACTGTAGTGATAGTGGCATATCCTAAGATACCCGTCGCGTCTTGTCAAAGTGTGATTAGAGTAACTACTGCCCCAATCAGGCATCGGATTGGGCGAAGAAACAACGACCATATCCGGGACTGAATTTGGAAAATCGCCGATGTAGATCCTGAGAATGTATTCGTTGTCATTGTTTGTTTTCAACGTGATTTCAACCTTCGTGTTGTCTGTCGGATCGATCCATCTAACACAACCAGGAAAGTAATGCTCTAGCACGCTTTTTTCTGCCGCCAACCTCTGTCTTTGAGCATGACTCCATGTCCAAGTGTTAGGTTTTAATCTCAACGACAAAAGTATAAATTGCTTCGTTTACTGTTTTCGTTTCAAGTCTAATTTATGCCTAAGCGTATGAAAAGTTCAGCTGAACTGCCCTTTCTAGGAAATGCTGTGTTTGTGGCTGAATAATGCGGTCAATGAATTCTTGGTAATTGGTATTTCAACTGATCACCTGATATATTAACATTGAATCATCAGCCTCGTTACATTGCTGCATATATGTATATATAAACATGACCTAACATGTATATGAAAACTCCCAAACTCCCATAAATATATGTATGCACATAGAAATTCGTGACTTTAATATATAATGTTCTATTATTAATTAATAAAATTATTTACAATGCTCAGAAAACTTACAACTACACATCTTGAAGCGGTTCAAAACCCATGAAACTTATATTTTTACATTTTTTTACTAATTTAAGTAAATTTACTTGTCAAACGTCGTAAATCACAAAGGGAAACTTGCCCGCTTGCCTTACATAAACTGGCAATTCGGCATGCTTGCCATTTCTCGAAGAAAATAGTTCATCGGCTGGCCTGTTCTCAAATGACCTTCGTAGGCTTCAAGCCAGATTCTTCCTTTCATAAACACTTCGTACAGCGACAAACGATCCGTCCACTGACTATTGTGGTGATGGCAAATGGTCAAATACCCATCTGTTCTTCTTAAAGTGTGATTAGTGTAGCTACCGTTCCAATCAGGCATTGGTTTGGGTGAGGAGACAACGACCATGACAGGAACTGAATTTGGAAAGTCGCCGATGTAAACTCGTAGAGTGTATGGGTTGTTGTTGTTCGTTTTCATCCTGACTTGCACTTTTGTATCGCTAGTTGGATCGATCCATTCCACACAACCAGGAAAGTACCGTTCTAGCTCGCGTTTTTCTGCGGCTAACCTCTGTCTTTTAGCGTGACTCCAAGGCATTTTTATTCGCTTTTTACTTATGGAGACAGAGAACACTTTGCTTCGTTGCTTATTTCTCTATATATGATGACCAACTCAGATTGAGGGGGGTTTCCCTGTTCCATATTGGCATCGCTGCTCGCCTTAAATTCCGAGATTCTTGGGTAATACTGCAGCCATGAAAGATAGTGCTATAGGAGGTATAGTTGGTCTTATGACTCGTATTCAATGTACCTCTGTCGCTTTTATCGCTGTTCTCTGAAGGTAAACACCACACGAAGTTTACTTTCATCACATCTGGATCGTCAAAGTAAGCTTTATTTGTATTGTGATTACGAATTTACTTTCATAATCTAAACCAGAACAGCGATAAGAGCGATATGGACAATATACGTGGTTCAGTGTCGCGAACCTTAAAAATTCAATTCGTTCAATAGTTGTTTAGTAAGACAAATACCGCCATTGATATGCCTCTTGCACCTGTTTCAAAACACATACCATGCCTAAGATAAGATTATAGAGTTCAATAATTTTCACCTGGTGAGATACAAAACCGTCTACTCTACTCTATGGGAAACTACAACTTCTTTTGTTGCTTAAACCATCACATACCTGCTAGAATAAATAATAGTCGAGCACAACAAGCAGCCATATAATTTTGATAAAATTTATTTAGTGCTTCAGCTATTATGAATTAAAAACACACGGTGTCGACAAACAAACGCACAAAATCATTAGCATAACTTTGTTTATCGAATCATTAAATGATAACAGTTTCATATTTTTGAATTGCAGATTTAAATTTTCCAAAAGGCAATATATTTTGATAGTCAAGAGGAAAGCAATTTTATGTAACACCTACTGTCTTGCGCTATGGCGTCATGTATATACATTCAGTTTCAGTTCAAATTAACTGTTTGATTTTACTGACATTGGCAACCTCCACTTCTGTTTTGTTCTACGTCTTCTACGCTGGGTAGTTGTTGTTCCTCAGTGGTGGCTGTGTCTGTACTTTCTATTTCGCTTGAGGCTTCAGGGGAACTTCCATTACCAGGCATCTCGCGAAGGAAATAGTTCATAGGTTTTCCTGTTCTTAAATGACCTTCGTAGGCTTCCAGCCAGACTCTTCCTTTCATAACCACTTCATACAGCGACGAACGATCGGTCCACTGACTCTCAGTGATAATGGCAGATTCTCAAATACCCGTCACGTTTTACTAAAGTATGATTAGAAAAGCTTCCATCCCAGTCTTCGGTGTTTGGCATTGGTTTTGGTGAACTAACTACGACCATATCAGGAACAGAGTTAGGAAAATCTTCGATGTAAATTCTCAGAGTGTACTTTTTGTCGTTGTTTGTGTTCAAGGTCACGTCGACTTTCGTATCGCCGTGTGGATCAATCCATTCTACTTTTCCTGCGAAATAATGATCCAGCACGCCTTTCTCTGCTGCCAAGCGATTCCTCTGAATTTCACTCCAACCCATATTAAATTATAGCAAGCTCGATAAATGAAACACTTTGTTTTCTTGCTGTATTTAGTGGATTGAATTGTATATTTTGACGGGTAATGCCCTGAATAATACCGATTGAGTTGCTCCCCCGTTTTCCTGGAAATGAAAGTAAAAAAACACAGGTGGCTGAATTAAGTTGGAAAAATTTTAGCCAGAGCTTGTTTTATTCAACAAAGTCTTCCGCGTTTGTTTTGCAAATCTCTTCACACAAGCTGAACTGTATTAAATTAGCGTAGAGCATTGCTGAAACGTCTGCACTGAAGACTCCACGCTTTGTGATTTCCTTTCAAAATTGCAATATGATTTGTGCAAAGAACACTTACGTTGACAAAATATCTTGGCAGGATTCAAAAACATGCCATGTCGTTGATACATAATATTATGTTTGTGCCTTTGTGGTATTGTTTACAAGACTTCATAATGAATTCTGGGAATGTAGATATGTATTTCTAGGTAATTTATCGATGTAAACTGATACATATAAACAGAAGCTGAACGCAAATCACAAATGTAACAGGTCAAACACACTATATTCACATTAGAATTTATTTCAGTTCATGTCAAATAAAATGCCAAATTTAAATGTCTAAATTAGCCGTCAATGGTGCATATACAGCATTTGTTCATATGAGTTGAAATTTATATTTTCTTTTCATCATAGGAATGTTCCACATTAATATAATTCGCTATACTCTGATGTTCAAGCTCATATATAGCTTATATAAGCTCATATACTATAAGTGTACCGATTATCAATTTCATAATAAAGTTTTAAAATGGAAACTATCCTACAAGCTGTTGTACTGCAGATAGTGATAAATTGTTTCATATGAATTTGAGGTTGTGATCCGTAAGAAGAAGCCAGCAGCAGCCATAGGTATTGCAATGACATTATCAGCATTTTTAACAGCCACTACAAGTTTCCCGGTCTGTGGGTCGAATGCCAGTCCTTCTTGTCCGTTCGGCGCCGTTCCCCACTTTCCAGTTTTTGGGTCGAACGATTCATTGAGAGTTCCGTCTTCCCTGGTCAAGTGAAGCGCATTTTGAACAACCTTCGGATGAGAAGTGCTCCTGGGTTTGTTCATTCTGCTTGATTTTGAGGTTGTTATGATGGTAATGGTTGTTTTCTGTCGACTGTTTCGATTTTACTCTCTCCCAAGGCCTTTCACGCGCGGTCAAGGAGAACTTTATGATCTCGTGCAATCATCATCCAGGACCAGGCGGACCAGATTCGAAATCTAAGCGCATAACAAGGACTGTGGGGGGATCTTATTGAAGTTGCGAGAGCACAGCCTGCTAGGAAGGGAAGAGAGAAACCCCAGTAGGATCATTTTGGAATCAAACGGCTGTCATATCCTCGAAGATGCGGCAATTAAACTGATGAATCAAATAAAACTTAACTAAAACGTTTATTACAAAACAGAAAAAATCACTGAAGATTTCTTCACCAGAAAAAATATTAGCAGGGGAAGCCACGGGGATCATATTATAAATAATTTTTGTTTGGAGCATGCAGCAGCCTTAGTCTAATTATCAATTGCTTTATATTGTCATGTAATATACTGAATATACCAAGTCGATTTATTGCCTTTAATATGCTTTAATGTACAATCCAATGAATGCAGTGCCACAATGAGAAAAATATTTCTACAGATTTATCCATTCAAAACTTCGCCCAGAGTAAACGCTAATGCTTCATCTCCCGAAGAAAGTAATCCATGGGTTTCCCTGTTCTCAAATGACCTTCGTAAGCTTCCAGCCGAAAACTCTTCCCTTCATAATGACTTCATACAGCGACGAACGATCCGTCCACTGACTGAAGTGATAGTGGCATATTCTCAAATACCCATCACGTCTTGATAAAGTGTGATTAGAGTAACTACCGCCCCAATCAGGCATTCTCTTCGGGGAACTAACAACGACCATATCAGGGACTGAATTTGGGAAATTTTCAATGTAGATCCTCAGAGTGTATCTGTTGTCGTTGTTCGTTTTCATCGTCACCTCGACCTTCGTATCGCCAGTGGGATCGATCCATCTCACACTGCTGGATCCAAAGTAATGTTCTAGAACGCTTTTCTCTGCCGCGAGCCGCTGTCTCTGTGCTGGACTCCAAGACATGCCTTAATATTTAATATAGACAAAGGGAATTCTCTCTGTAAAAAATTAATCAGTTCCTTTCACTTTGATTTACCTGGAATCCAAAGTGAAAGCTACAATAATAATGAATGACTTGACGGAAAATAGACCAAAGGCAAAGGTCAAAGCAAATTATAAAACTATGGATAATGTATATCAATAGTTATTTCCTTTTACAAAAGATTAGCATAATTATATGGGCCAATACGTCGTACGGTTGTATTCTCTTAAGGATTCAGAGTCTACGACATTGGCTACAAAAGTTTAATAAAAATGGCCTAGAGACCGTAGATATTTAATAAGCAGAACTGTGTATTTATAGTGATTATATTTTTCTAAGTATGAAACATTCAGGAAGTGTATTTACAATATAATAAATTATCTATATTCAGCTAATTATCCCATCAGTGGCTTTCGTGGAAACCGGTTTAATCGGAAGGCCACAGAATCTAAAGTAAGCAGTAAAACCAAAAGTAAACCAATTTCCTGTGAAATCATACTTTGTATATCTTTCACTCCTTCGAATGAAAATCCAAGATGAGTCGTTCAGTGAAAAGTTCTGCGGCAAATGTTATCCAAGAAGGTTTGCATCATACTACGGATGATGGGAAGCTTGCGAGAGCGTTTAATCCAAATAATGGGAAATGGGAGACCAGTTCAACACAACAGAATTTAGCGTTCGATCCCACAAAGCGGTAAACTGATTGTCGTAGTTCAGGAAACTAGTTCTCTTCACGACATTGACTCTTCCTTAACGCCTGCAATCAGAATGGCAGCTGCGGGTTTCTTCCTTGCTTTGGATGGACTAACTTTGGATGAAATGGTGACTTTGGGTAGATACTGTCTATGATGGATTTGATATGAATCATATGATATGTCGTTTGTCAAGTTGTTGATATATGCAAATAAATAATGTCTACAGAAATAGTACGGGAATTGTACATTCTAATATTTTAAGCGAACTGAAGAAAATCGTCGCGAAGATAATGTCAGTGCATGGAGATAACTAACTTACAAAATTGATAAATAACTTACAATTAATCTCCTCTAACAATCCAAGTTTACAACACAAGGATATCACTTCTGTGTCTGTATAGATACGTTTTTGTATTTTTGTTTATGCTACCTCAAAATTGCGAAGTTTATTTTAAGATAAAACAATCAATAAAAAGCTCTGCTGCATCTAGAATATATAATTATGTTTGTTTAGGGACCTTGAGTCCATTCAGAATCATCTGTAGAACTTGTATGTGTGCTTACGTCAGGTTTATATTTTATGTCGGTCTTTGAACCATTGACATGTCGCGATGCAATGAGGGAAGCTTGGAGGACAAAATGCACTTTATTTTACACGCTTGAAAACTTTAACGTAGGCACTTCTGTAAATGGCTTATCAACGGCTTTGTCCTCGTTGAACAATCGAGACTATTTCCGTGCAATGAATAAATGGGACTTTCATTTTGGAAAATCAAGATGTAATGTGTAAAATACTTCCAAATTCAGGCCTGAAGATATTGTATCAGCACATGATATGCAACCCAAACTAAACCAACGTTGTAACCCAACTGACTGTAAATTCGACGTTCAGTGTCGTTGTATAATAGGCATCTGACAACAAGAACTGAAAAGCTATAATGCTACAATTCCCTTTTAACGATATACACCCAGAAACTGTATTTATTTACTACTATATACTAGCTAAATTGCCAGGGGTCGGTTGTATCACTTGTATGAAAGCTTGATAGCGCTATATCCACCGGATAGTGGGTTTTTAATCTCTTTAAAATCCTCGTTGTTTGATATAACTTTGATTAAATCTTAACATTCCTAAATCCAGAATCCTCTTTAATAATTGTTGGTTCCAAAGATGAAATTTTATTGCTCTTCAAATCTTCAGTCGAATCTTCTAATTCAATTCATTTCCATGCATTTAGATAAAAAGAATGCGTTAGCATGTACTTCAACAGTGACTATTAATAGTTTAATCAAGAGCATCCTGGTGTATGGTAAATAAACTTAACGGTACCTTTACTTTTGATTTCGGAAAAACGGTATTTTCATGAACGATACTCTATTTCTTAGGTTACACTGAGTAAGAAAGTGTTATTGCTTGTACTTAATTCTATTTAACGCAATAATGTGTATACGTGCCTCGCAAAGAGCACGACTCTGAAATGTTATGAATAAGTGATCTTTTAGGTATGTTATATATAGCTAATTTGCTTGGTGAATGTATATATAAACGTGACCTTTTTGACAATGAGATTTAATGAACCTAACCGCTTTATTCGATGGCAAAATCCAGTACCTTGGTTGCCAGACATTAATGTGACTCTGTCTGTATAGTAACATAGTATAACGGCGCAGTTTCAAGAATCTCCAGATGTGTCTGGTCTCAATAAACGTACTCTTTAGCGCAGAAATATCTATAGTTAAGACAACCGCAGTACATTGAAAACAAGGATAAGATGATATAATTATGAATTATTATTATGGAAAAGATTACAACATATATATTACATATATACAAGTTCTTAATGCTGCTAAAACTACGTATATATAGCACCAAACGGTTTCTATATGCGTAGTGAAAAATGTTCATTTCAGATGTAGAGTTAAATTTTGTTGCAATAAAGTAATACAAAACAATCTTTGATTAAACCAAATTCACGATGACACTGTACCTACAACAATATCAAAGCATCTTATAGCTTCGATCAGTACTGCATGCATGCATGACCGAGTATATATATTAATTTCCATGCATGCAAGCTAGCGTAGCAGTAAAATTATTAACTAGAATTACAATTTTTTATTATTATATCGCCCAATTACATAAAAATTATTAGTAGATTGTAAGTGAAATGCTGCGAGTGAATACACGTAGTGCCTTTTAGACCCCCAGTCATTTCTTGGGTAGTCTTCGGGATAGTAATGGCAATTACTATCGCGTGAAAAAACTAGCGCGTCAAAAAACTCGATCTTGTTTATATTATGATAAACGTATACAATATTATTATCGCGATTGTGCTGATGAGAGAATTTTCTCCCGAGTTGAGATCGCACATAAGTGCGAATATGAAGCATTAATAGGATGATGAGACAGGGGTGGATCCAACACTAGTAATGCAAAGCAGTGCACTAGTGCTGGATCCACCCCTGTGATGAGATAAATCATTTCTCAGAACTTTTTCCCTTTCTTCAGCAATTTTTTGAATTCCCATCTCAGCTTCCTCTGCATCTTCCTCCAATTTTCTCCAAACTTCCTCCATCCTTGCATAGTCGCCACTTGATCTCAAAAAAGTAATACTTTGCAAGGCATTCACTCGAACTAGTAAATACTTATTTGAAACCTCAACGTAGAATCTCAAGATCCATTTTACCACAAAAGCAACTTTTATGGCGTTTCTGGAATTATCAATGAACTGGCTATCTTCGTTTGTTTTCATAGCTTTTCTGCCGGCCTCTAAGGTCTGGGTCACTTCTTTCTCAAGTTCATCTTTAATTAAATCATGAAAGTTTTGAAACATAACCACCAATTGCTTCCAAAATTGATTGACCTTAAAAAGCTCCTCGATACTCTCTTGCAGAGCGTCTTTAACATTATTCAAGTCGTTGATCTCTTGATTAAATTTCTCATGGTCTTTAGAGGCTTTTTTCTTTGACTCTTGAAGCCCTTGTTTAGCTTTTTCGGTGTATTTGTCATACTCTTCATTCTTTTCTCTCTAAATAATCATACGCTATGTCTAAATATGCATGGTTTGTATAAAGTTTGAAGTTTTATGTTATTGAAGTGAACTGAAGTGAACTGAAGTGAGCTAAAAGCGGAGCATGTGGATGCACAAAAAGTTTTTAATAAGAGTGCAAAGAAGGACTTCCCTCAAGAGCACTATTCTGCGGCTATTTAGACTTTTACTGCATATAAAGGTAATAAAACTGAACCACTATTGGTTGGGATAGAAAAGTCTAAAATGGATAGCAACTTGTCTCAAAATAAGTAGAACCTAACTTATTTGTATATTTATTCAAAGCTCCGATAAAGAAGATCGCATTGAGTGTCACACCACTTACGAAAGAGTAATAAGGGTTGATGAACTCCCCCTTCCCGAAATGCCACGTCCTTTAGCGCTTTGAGTTGTTCCACTGGATTTACATTTCGAGAGATAAGTTAAGAAGATATTTAGCTAGTATGCAGTACCCCATACCTTTCTTTTTTCAGGCATGTTCTTTGGTGTTTCTGTGAAAGACCCTTCACCCGTTCCCAGTTCCAAAGTGGGCGTTGAGAACTAAAATAGAAATGTTCAATTTATTATACAGCTATATGTTATATTATAGCGCGCGTTTCATTTTCATGACTACAAGGGGAGAGTTTAAAACGTCTTAAAACAAAATGCATACCTGTGGCAGTGGCATGACTTTTTGCTTAAATAATTCTGTTTCGAGATTGATTGCGAGAGGTGTGATGCCATCAAGAAATTTAAAAAGCATAGTTTTCCAAGGTGATGGACAAGCTGCGGCTGCATCTTCGTCAAGATTCTCTTCTTTCTCTGTTATCCGTTTCTTCTCTTTACGAGTTGCCTCAATTTTGTTTTTTGTTGACCTTTTTTCCTCCTCGTTTTTTCCCTTCAATGCAGTGAGGACTACGTTAAGCTCGTCTATAGTTCGGCTGAGTTTTTCAAATTCTTCCGTTACCGGAGCGGCTATGTCCACACATTCCAGGCAACTTTCTTTAGCGCTCTCAAAAAAATGCAGGCCCATTTTCCATTCCTGATACTCGCCTTCCTCCATAAACTGCAATGCCAATTTCGCATCGGTAGCAATGTGTCCAGATTTCACGGAAATACGTTCCATGCTCCTGTGTGCTGCATCAAACGCCTCGCAGACGCCATTGGAAATCTGAACTAGGCATGCGCGTAAAGAATCTGGGAACTTGAAATATTCGAGATTTGCACTTTTGCAATGTTTCTTTAAACTGATATCCCGTTTTGCCGAAGTAAGTAACAAATGGCCCAATGACTTTATAACGGTGGATGGTACCAGAGTTAGAGCCTGGCAGGTACTTGATATAGAAGATAACATTATTTCATCATCCAAAAGTCCTTCAATCGAATCTTCGAAATCAGCCGTTTTCATCTGTTAGATAAAAAAAAGGAATTAGCATATACATCAATAATTGTTTAAATAAAAAATATATACTTGCAATATAATGGTTAGTTGCTGAAATGACATTACTGGGGAGCCTGTTAAAGGTAAGATAAAAATATGAAAAAAATTTCATAACAGTACTGAGTTTCAGCCCGTCTTAAATCGAAGTCCGCAAATGCAATATGTAAGATAGAAGTTTCTTAAAAAATTTTGTTTCGTGCCTTATATAATTCTATTGATAACAAGTCAGCCATCTTTGATAGCGAAATCCTGGCATTCTGATAATTAATGTCTTGAATTTCTGGTAATGTTATCCCCGAGCCGGTGCGGAGCACCGTGCGAGGGTACTAATTCCGCTCGGATATTTACACCCACGATATGTAAATGCGAAATCAAAGTCGTCCGCCATTATGCAATGGACCTCACGCCATGGACGGTCTTCTACGTTTTGCGCATGCGCCAGTGTGAACTACTAAGCTCTTGATTGGTCGAGACAAAAATTTGTATTTTCAAACGTCAATGAATAACGGTCATTTAGCAAAATTTTAATGAAATTTACAAATTTCATATTTTTATAAATATGGAATATATGTATTTTTACTAAATTAGAGGGAAACTCAAATAAGGTCAGGACTTCTCACGATTTAACAAATAACAAGACCAAATTTTCGACCGAATTCACCGTGTATGATGAAGTCGGAAGATTTTATATTGATAATATTTCATCCGGCACAGCTTTAAAAAGTAATTCTTTTGTGGCAAACACAGTTTTAATATTCTCAAATGTATTTCACTATAAATCTGAATGTGTTATGTGATAAACGACATTATAATTTTATTTATAAACTCCGTTTTCATAATGAAAAATGAAAACAAAATCAAAACATTCCCGTACAAAAACCAGTCGAAGCATTGTATGAGACGTCCGATGTTATATTTCATGGTATTTAATAATTAAAATAATTTACCATAACACTGACCATAGATGAGTAACTTAACTTCCAGAAAATGGTACGAATCTTGTCGTATTTTAGCCATTTTTTCACAAAAATATGAGGGTAAGTTTTGATTTTTTAAAAATATACGGCCGTTGCGAGTTGCTATGACTACAGTGTTTCCACGTGCAGAAAAATATTTCCATACTTTTCTCAATTTCTATTTCTCACATACCATGTACCTTCCAAAACCCCGAAACCACATAAAATTTCTAACAATCATCATCTAATTTTGTTTAACCGAGGCGAGGGATTGCTGCATGCATGTATTTCTAGTTTATGCATATATGAGACCAATTCACGCATGTCCACCAAGAAATATTTAACCACGTCAACATATTGCTGGTTTCCAAGTTGGATGTGATTAAAAATTACATGTAATTTTACATGTAATTACAAGTGTTTGAACATTGAAATTCTCATTAAGTTTGATCGGCGCTATATTGTGCTGAACTTTATACTTGGGCCTAGTTGAAAATTGAGCTTTCTCGAGTCTAATTATTTAATCATTCAATTGCCAATGATAGTCGTGTTTGTCGTGTTTGTCGTGTTTTCTTTCTTAGTCGAACGGGCTGGTCTTTCTTTCTGTTTTTGCTCGTTTTTGTCGACTTCTTTATTCGCATATGCATATACCACGTATACAATACTACCAAATATTCGAGAGCAAGTTTGATAATGCAGAACTTGATTACTACATATTTTGAAATCTATTATATTGAAGAAAATGGCCTCCAAACACTGACTGATCTTTTGAAATGGAATTTTTTTTAATTTTCGTACAAACGGGTGTATAGTTTCTTTGAGATTAGAGAAGGGGTAAATTATTATAAGGTTCGGGGTATATTTTCCCATCAAGACCATCCTGGCGTGAAAAATAAACTTAACAGTACTTTAACTTTAGATTCCTGAAAACAGGATGAATTTACGATAACTATATATATACTTTAATTCGGCTTAGGTTACAGTAAAAAGATTTCTTGGTTGTGATTTTTAGTTAACGCGGGAGTGTATGCTTAGAGTCCAGCGCAAAGAGAACGACATAAAATTGAACGGGAAATCTTTCGACCTGACATGTTATGAAGAATTGATATTTCAGGTAGGCTACTTTCACTTAGTTGTTTTGTGAATGTATATAAAAATTAATTTGAACGACATTTTCGATATAATCTTCAGATATGTCGCCTCTAACTACCTGACCTTCTTCATTCAGTTTTCATTTTTTCTGACCTCATTCAAACACTTAAATACATGATTGATAGAGAATTAGCCTTCTTTTGCCCTTTATATAACGTCATCTAAATGATGAAAAAGTTCATGATGGAAGGGACATTATCAACAGAACAAACGAGAACGTGTTTCAATTTAAGTATAGCAAATCCTAACCCCTTTATCTGGCAGGAAAGTACATTACCTTGGTTGCTGGAGGTTAACGTTAATGTGATTTTGATCTATAGAGTTATATTTTATAACGGCGCAGATTCAAAAATCTCCAGATGTGTCTGCTGTCAATTAACCTACTCTTTAGCGCAGGAATATCTATAGTTAAAACAACCGCAGTACATTGAAAACAAATGCAAATATAGACAAGGATAAGATGATATATGAATTATTATTATGAAAAAGATTACAACATATACATATATACAAGTTCTTAATGCTGCTAAAAATTACTAAACGGTTCTATGCATATAAATTGCATATATGAAGACTGTTGATTTCAAATGTATAGTTAAATGTGGTTAAAATAAAGTGATGCAAAACAATATTTAATTAAACTACGTGACACTGTGCCTCACAACAATATTAGAGCATCTTCGATTATTGTAAAAATCGAGTATATATTAATTTCCATGCATGCAAGCGTACCATGCAACAAAATAATATTTTAGTTGCAGTATATATTATAAAAGGTAGAATTTTTGTGCGCTGTTTCAAATCTTTTTCAAATCGTCACATGTTATCTGAACTATGCTTAAATTGATGTTGAGATAACTCATTTCTCAGATCTTTTTTTCTTTCTTCAGCAATTATCGGAATTCCCCTCTCAGCTTCCTCTGCATCTTCCTCCAATTTTCTCAAAACTTCCTCCATCCTTGCATAGTCGCTACTTGATCTCAAAAAAGTGATACTTTGCAAGGCATTCACTCGACCCAGTAAATACTTATTCGAAACTTCAACGTAGAATCTTGAGATCCATTTTACCACAAAAGCAACTTTTATGGCGTTTTTGGAATTATCAATGATCATCTTGCGCGTCATATCTGGTATTTTCTGGCTATCTTTGTTCGTTTGCATAGCTTTTCTGCCGGCCTCTAAGGTCTTGTTCACTTCTTTCTCAAGTTCATCTTTAATTAAATCATGAAAGCTTTGAAACATAATCTTCAATTGCTTCCAAAATTCTTTAATCTTAAGAAGCTGCGCGATACTCTCTTCCAGAGCGTGTTTAACATTATTCAAGTCGTTGATCTCTTGATTAAATTTCTCAAGGTCTTTAGAGGCCTTTCTCGTTGATTCTTGAAGCCCTTGTTTAGCTTTTTTGCGAATTATGGTGCATTTATCATACTCTTCCTTCTTTTCTCTCTAAATAATTATACGCTATGTCTAAATATGCATGGTTTGTAAACAACTAAAGTTTGATGTTTTATGTTATAACTGAAGTGAGCTAAAAGAGGGGCATGTGGGTGCACAAAAAGTTTTTAATATGAGTGCAAAGAAGGACTTCCCTCAAGAGCACTATTCTGCGGCTATTTAGACATTTACTGCCTATAAAAGTAATAAAACTGAACCGCTATTGGTTGGGATAGAAAAGTCTAAAATGGATAGCAACTTGTCTTAAAATAGGTAGAACCTAACTTATTTGTATATTTATTCAAAGCTCCGATAAAGAAGATCGCATTGAGTGTCACACCACTCACGAAAGAGTAATAACGGTTGATGAACTCCCCCTTTTCGAAATGCGACGTCCTTTAGCGCTTTGAGTTGTTCCACTGGATTTACATTTCGAGTGATAAGTTAAGAAGATATTTAGCTAGTATGCAGTACCCCATACCTTTCTTTTTTCAGGCATGTTCTTTGGTGTTTCTGTGAAAAACCCTTCACCCATTCCCAGTTCCAAAGTGGGCGTTGAAAACTAAAATAGAAATGTTCAATTTATTATACAGCTATACGTTATATTGTAACGCGCGTTTCATTTTCATGACTATAAGGGAAGAGTTTAAAACGTTTTAAAACAAAATACATACCTGTGGCAGTGGCATGACTTTTTGCTTAAATAATTCTGTTGCGAGATTGATTGCGAAAGGTGTGATGCCATCAAGAAATTTAAAAAGCATAGTTTTCCAAGGTGATGGACAAGTTGCAGCTGCATCTTTGCATTCTTCTTTCGCCTTATCGCACCTTTCGTCAAGATTCTTTTTTCTCTTCGTGATCCGTTCCTTCTCTTTACGAGTTGCCTCAATTTTTTTTCTTGTTGACCTTTCTTCCTCCTCGTTTTTTCCCTTCAATGCAGTGAGGACTACGTTAAGCTCGTCTATAGTTTTCCCGATTTTTTCAAATTCTTCCGTTACCGGAGCGGCTTTGTCCACACATTCCAGGCAACTTTCTTTAGCGCTCTCAAGAAAATGCAGGGCCATTTCCCATTCCTGATACTCGCCTTTCTCCATTAACTGCAATGCCGATTTCGCATCGGTAGCAATGTGTCCAGATTTCACGGAAATACGTTCCATGCTCCTGTGTGCTGCATCAAACGCCTCGCAAACGCCATTGGAAATCTGAACTAGGCATGCGCATAAAGAATCTGGGAACTTGAAATATTCGAGATTTGCACCTTTGCAATGTTCCTTTAAACTGATATCCCGTTTTGCCGAAGTAAGTAACAAACGGCCCAATGACTTTATAACGGTGGATGGTACCTGAGTTAGAGCCTGGCAGGTACTTGATATAGAAGATAACATTTTTTCATCATCCATAACGGGAGTTGTTCCTTCCATCGAATTTTCTAAATCAGTTAGATCGAAAAAAACGCATTAGCATATACAAGGTGTCCCAAAAATGTCCGATGCTAAACAATTTAGAATATTATTTTAAATATAACACTTGAAAAATTGTTATTACCTATTGAAAGCCTAACATCATATTCGTTCTCCCGCAAAGTCACACTTTTATTCGCACTTGCCTATTAACTTATCACTGAGTCGCTATGATGGGCCACGAGACACGTAAAAAACACAGCAGTAAAGTGCGTTAAAAAGTAGCTAAAATGTTGTAAATATTAGAAGTGTTGAACAAAAAAGTTGCTGCTTAAAATTCTGAAATTTCTAAATCATTATGCAAAACTTGGACAAGTGAGAATTTAGTATCACGTTTTTAGATTGCTGCAACAGTCACACATTTCGCCAATTAGATATGAAATTTTGAAGCAGGCCATAAGCGATGTGATGTTAGACATTCAGTATAGGTAATAAAAGTTTACTAACTGGACGTCGCTCTAAACAGTTATCAGTCAAATATTGGGGCAGGATACATTTTTGCACCCGTCTTGTGTAGGTAAAATCTCTACTCAATGTTATAGGTAAATCGCAAAAAATGCATGACCATACAATATATAAATCAACTCTTATAGCTATATTTCAATTTTCAAATCAAAAGTATGCCGCTTTCCTATATCAAGCGCTAAACGCACGTAGTACTTATACGTGCATGCAAGCACCTGAGATATTCTTCTCATTTCTTAAAGCCCTGTTACACAATGCAATTTTTCATACAACTTTTGTCATACAACTTTAACGTGCATGTGTTTTTTACGTACAATTGGAGCCTTGAACGATATTCGTCACCCAGGGTCAAGGAACACAAACGCCAAACCGCTAACAAAGTTTGTGTTTTAACTCCACTACCTTTAAGTGTGCGGCAATTTCGCTAAATTACAAACGTTCTACATAAAACTTGTGATGTTCAGCACTATTGTAAGAAAGCAATAGGCTATTTCTGATGTATTTAGAAAAGTATATAGAAAGAACTGATGTACATTAAATTTACCTCTATAATATATACATAATATTTTACTTTTTACATAAATTTGAATTTTTAAAACCATTAGGTATAATTACACATCATTAACACACTGATGAAAAATCAATATATTTGGCTATTGAGAACATTTTTAAACTAAGCAATATAGTCAGTCCTTCAGTTCAGTCCTTTTATGACATTTGGCAAATTATTCCACAGCATCACTCCACAATAACTTATTCTCTTTTTCGTAAAATTGGTTTTACAAGTACTTCTTTGTACATGAGATTTGGTTGCATTTTCTTTCATCCTATCAATTAATGGTTGGTTGCCAGTCCAAATCATTCAATATATCGCTTGATCTTATTTCATACGATTTACCGGTTATGACTCTTCCGCATTCTTTGTCTTTTAACTTAAGTCTTTTCAATAAATTAAAATAATTGCAAGAGTTATCGCAATGCATTCTGGTAAAATGTACATCCGCCATTTTTTTCGTTATGGTCAATTTCATTTATATTTTTCCACAAGAGCTTAATCAGCTTATCGTCAACGACAATTCCTTTTTCTTCAATAGCAGTGATTATTTCTGTTTTTAAATTCTGGAAAAATATCTGTATTGATTGATTGATTGGTTTAAAATTCTACATAAAAAGGAAGAAATAATCGTGGCAGAATCTTTCACATCTAACTCTAAGATATTATGCAATTGAAAACTCGATTAAGTGCAGTAGTTTCTTGAAGTTCGCTTGCAATTGTACTAAAAAATGAATTGAGTGAATTTTAAATCTCGTTTGGGTCTTCAGTATAATGTTTCCATTAATATCAAGCCTGGGGACAGAAGTTGTTTTTGATTTCTTATTAGTGATCTTGTTGATCACTTTCCACATGTCCTTCGGGATTAAAATAATCCTTTTTTATCCCTTATCAAATTATATGATAAATATATTTTTTGATATCCTTAGTAATCCGTAATAATTCGTACTTTTCTCATGATTTGAGGGGATTCAAAAGCGGGTTAACTTAATCCAGAGTTAACGCAAATTTTCGCATCAATTTTTTTCATCGCTTGTTTATTCAAGTTGAATATTTTTTCCATGAGTATTTTCTGCATGGTTCAATAGAAGTCATATTTTCTCAAGTTTTGAAACGAGAAGCAGTGCAGAAGCACGTAAACTAAAACAGCAAAGGAAATTAACCCAGGGTTAGCGATAACCTAGCCTAAACTATTAACTTAAACTCTCTCTTAAATAAGGTCTGTTCACACGATCCAATTTTGTTGGATCCAATCCACTTCTGAGTTCTAACGTATGAAATATAGTCAGTTATTGATAAAGCAGTACTGCATTGGTTTCAGTGGATTTGCTGCTCATATACATTACAAGACAACAACAGGCAATAAAACATTCATGCATCAGAAAAGGGAATTGGATCCGACAAAATTGGATTGTGTGAACATGCATGCAGACCTTTAGGCATTTATCTGATTTGTTCTCAATAGCCGAATATATCTGGCTTGTATATTTTTATGCTCAATCAGGCCAATATATTATATGCTCTGTACAAAACGTATTAATTTGACATTCACCTTACCTATTTCAGCTCCATAACTTGGACAGTCACTTCATAACTTTGTCAGTCCTCTTTGTCAGGACAATGATTTCAGATAAAATGATGTTCGTGTCAGAGCTTTCTTTTTTCATCATGATTATTTTAAATGTCCACAATCCCACTAACAACCCCCTAGGGTTTTGGTCAGCGATGCAGGACATTTTGCCATGCAACAGTGTAGAATTAGCTCTTCAGGTTTCTTTGCTAAGCAACCCTTCTTGAGTCGAAGTGTTTAATAATCGAATCGCCGATGATAATCGTGTTTGTCGCATTGTTGTGGTCAACCTCTTTATTCGTTTGATTTTTATTGTGAATATTTTGACTGGAAGGCTCTTTTAAACAACCGTAACAGATATCGTTTACTGTCCTTTTTTAAATTCAACTCATGCATTATATAAATATTATATTGATCTATATATATATCGCGTTTGGTTGGCTATGGACGCTGGTTTATTTAGTACCGGTTTGCCGATTTTTTTGAGCTTTAGTAGCCCAAGTTTGCTTTCATCATTACTCCGGCGCCAGCGACGGAATTGGAAATTCGCCTCGGTTTCGTTTTGTTGTTTTTTTGTTTTTTTTTTCATTTTTCGTCGTCGCAAGTCTGTAATGGCGCGAAATATACTAGTATGATACGGCAATTCCTCCAAGAGGAACAAATTAACCGTTCTTTTGATACTGTTCGATTAAGTTTAGATTGAATTGGGGTAAGAATATATTTAATGCATGTAGATTCTGGTCCTATTTTAATTAATAATATCGCTGCTATTTCGCCGTTTAACAAGATGTGGCCGTGTATGGGCGCGTTGACACGTCGCATGTAAGACAAAGTAAACGTATATCATGCGGTTTATTTGCATTTTTAAACAATTGAACTTTTATACTTTTTAAAGTACGATGAGCTTCTGAATGTCGCGATCGAACAACATTTAGGTTGACAAGGCATCTAAATTAAATGAGTATAGGTAACTGTATTGTTTATGTTCAGAAGCTTTATATTGAAAACTGGTGCGTACGTGCGCGGCACGCCGGAGTTAACGCCAGAACAGGCATCTTGTCTTTCATTGTCACTCATAATTTCGAATCATGAATTCATTTCCCACACTCAATATCACAAGTAATACATGCAGACACGTTGTTCAGTCGTGACTTGCTAAATGACGGATTAGAAGCGTGCTTTCTCTAGTTGTGCTTCGAGCCTATAGACATAATTATTACATATACAAGTCTCAAATTGTTCACATCGTGAACAAATCATTATTTTACGTGTATATATTATAATGGAAGGCCATATTAGTCGAACTGCCGTTTTCAACCGCCCTCATAAAAGACATTAGCCTTTTGCCTATTCATTCAGAATACATATAATGACTATAAACGGGTTAGCTATTTATCACATAGTCGTTTTAAGAATATGTAAACCTTCTATAGTTTCACTGAAATTCGTAAGTTGTTGTAGTAACTTGCTCAAAAATTGTGTTAAGTTATTCAGTTTATAGACTAAAACTGAAGGCTAAAACACGCGTATAGAGTGTTTGACTAATTGACTGACTAATTTCTTGAGAAAATTGTTGAGAAACGTTTTCTAGTTATACTCAAGTCTCAAGATGTTGAGTTGAGTTGGTAATACCAACTTTTCACAATTTTTTTTAAAAGTATCTATATTATAGCTACGTATCTATATTATTTTATATAGCGTGCAGAACAAATAATATATCACACTCCAAAAAAAAATAGGGAACTCTTTCATTTTTAACTACGCAAGGCAAATTAAATTTGAAAATTTCACCTCGCGACTAGCTACAATACCTATTCGGAATGCAAAGTTGTTAGCTACTAACCTTCTTTGCGATCGCTATCCTAATCGGGCACAATTTTTCTTAATCAGGCTACCGAAGATCTTTTGAACATTACTGCTCCTTTGACAGTTTCAATTCTATTCGTCTTTATATATAGTGTTATTTGTTTGTTATTTGTGTTTCCATGGACTTACAGGTGTCGACAGCATGGTATAATTTCCATAGCCAATCTGTCCATATATGGATATGTCGTTTTTATTAAATAACAAAAGACGTGGCTGTAGAAACAGGTTCGCGGTGCCAAACAGTCAGTTGTATAATTATAGAATCAAATTTTTCAAAATTTGCTCTCGTGATGCACAAAAACTATTTATTATTTATAGGAGCAGGATATTTAAATAATCAATGTCTCTAAGTCATGAAAAATTAATATATATCAGTGAGCCGTCTCTCGGTCGTGGATCGAGTTGAATTATAAGACTGTAAATAATAAGTCTATTTCCATTGTAACTCGTTTATGCGCAGTTTCTTTTTGAACTAACAATCACTTTTTCGCTTGGTTTTGCCGAATTATTTTTTTACCTCGCGTTTTCGATCACCGGAAGATGCACTGTCTATTTCTTGACGTTTTACATTCATCATAATTACGAATGTTTATTTTATGACAAGCGTCACTTCCAGCTCAGAAGAATTTTCATGCAGCGATCCTTTAATTACTTTCTCGTAATGGTTCGGCGGTACGAGATGAAAAGCAGCGAAATTCTGAATGAAAAAGGCACAAATAAATGCTCAAGATAAAATTTAATTGCTTTTCAAATTAATAAGACGTCTCCAGACAGTTTAGATAAACTATAAATAATATTTTACTTTTGTTTTTATCAAGTGCGTGCCAGGCTACTCAATATGAATTCGTACATTTCGTGTTTGTTTCAAGTGGATCTTAACCGATTAAGAAGGGAAAAAGCTAATTTCGGTTTTTTGCTCTTAGGAAAACCTATTAGGAAAACGCGGTTGTAACTCTATTATAGCCAAGGAACATGACCGAACAGGTACATGCACCTTGCAAATACACGAACAGAAACAGGTTGAAACAAGCTTATTTGTACGTACGCGGCGCCAGTATTCTGCATGTTGGCGTTGGGTGCCAAATAGTCAGTTGTTTTACATTCATCATAGTTACGAATGTTTATTATATGACAAGCGTCACTTCCATGCAGCTCAGAAGAATTTTCATGCAGCGATCCTTTAATTACTTTCTCCGTTGGCGGTACGAGATGAAAAGCAGCGAAATTCTGAGTGAAAAAGGCACAAATAAATGCTCAAGATAAAATTTAATTGCTTTTCAAATTAATAAGACGTCTCCAGACAGTTTAGATAAACTATAAATAATATTTTACTTTTGTTAGCTCGCCTGCACTTTAGTGCAAGAGAGCTATTGCTATAGTCTTGGCGTCCGCGTCACCGTCCCCGTCACCGTCACCGTCCCCGTCACCGTCCCCGTCACCGTCCCCGTCACCGTCACCGTCCCCGTCCGCGTCCACACTACATGATAAGTAGAATGTTAAGATGCCACTTTTATTTTCCCATTATTTTCAACTTATCTACTTAAGGAGTCTATTTGTTGCAAAAGAACCATTTACCAGGGGGGAGTGAACATTATACAACAAAATATAATGATAAGGTCAATGTTAACATGCTATATTTTTTCTATACTTTGGCTTTACATCAGAGGAATCATTATCAATATAAGTCATCAATATGCATTGTGACTATTTAGTGCCATTTGGTACGCATTTATACAATAATAAAGAGAGTTTTGTTCAAAATTATCAAATGATAAGGTGAATGTTAAGCTAATTAGCATAATGATAAGGTCAATGTTAAGATGTTATATTTTTTAAATATTATGGCTTTGCATTGGAAGATTCTTTATAAATATAGCTCATCGATATGTCTTGTGACTATATGGTGACATTTAGTACACATTTACACAAAAATAATGGGAATTTTGTTCAAAATTATCAAATGATAAGGTGAATGTTAAGCTAATTAGCATAATGATAAGGTCAATGTTAAGATGCTATATTTTTTAAATATTATGGCTTTACATCAGAGGAATCATCATAAATATAAGTCATCGATATGCATTGTGACTATTCAGTGCCATTTGGTACACATTCATACAATAATAAAGAGAGCTTTGCTCAAAATTATCAAATGATAAGGCAAATGTTAAGCTTATCAGCATCATGATAAGGTCAATGTTAGAGTTACATCCAGAGTTATCACGCTCATTACGATTTTCAGGGCTATTGTGTAGCCCTGTCTTTTTTAGTTCAAAGTTGTAGCTGAATCATATTTAACGAAAGTATTTGTACAACCCTAAGCAAAATGAGAAACTTTCAAATATTTTCACCTGTATGCTACCATATGTTTGTATTGTACATGTACAATTATAAATTATGAGATTGTGTTGTGACATGCCGTATCAAAATTCAATCGCTTAATATAGAAACCAGACACAGTACTAAAATGCGGTGCCCGCAATGCTTGTCTAGAAATAAAACGTCCGCTCATTTCTAACGACATCACCAACTTACATTCTCCTGTCGGCCGCAGCCTGGTTGGTTGGTACATTAAGGTCAAAATTGCGCCGTTTTAAAATCTTCAGAAATAAAATATTTAGGCTAAAAATACTATCTAAGAATACTATCAAAATGAAGAGAAACGTGAGACGAATAAACTGGCGTAGAGCCGGAAACTAGAAAAGCAACGATACAGAAGTCAAGGATTAAGCGTACTGCATTTTTAATTTGTTTAATAATTTTGAGCGATTTGTCATAAAGTTCGCTTATTGAAACTATACTTTAAAACCTTCGAAATAGAATATATTTGGCTGAAAGTACTATAAAATAAATCGCAATGTAAGACCGATGCACTTATTTAAGGACGAAAATTAAAAGAGAAAACCAACGATATGAAAGATATCAAAGACCAAACTTACTATTACTAGTGAAGTATAGCATAGTAATTTTGAGCGATTTGTCAACAATTCAATTTCGTTTGTCCTTCAAACGTCATAAATCGCTGCGAATACTCTTGTTTAGTAATATATTTAAGACCTGTACGTATAATTTCTTACGCTGAATAGAATGGTGGTATTTTTGTCCTTCTTGGGTGCATAAAAGCAGAGATACACGCAATTATCAGAGTTTGAGATTGAAATTGAAAAAAGAACGTTCCTTTAAAAAAGGAATTTGCCAAACGTACAACAAGATTAATAGTAATGATTAGGAAAAAATTCCAAGCATTCCAAGTATGTGCAAGGAATTTTTACTTGGCGATTAAGGAAACGTATTGATGCGAACAAACAAACTCACAGGCAGAATATAATGCGGTGCCAAATTTGGCGCGGGCACCGCAATCATTCAGGGAGTGAATATATATAAAACATAGTCCAACGTTAAAGTTTAAAGAATATTGTCAGATAATTCGCAATTACAAGCTTTAGCACATAAGTATTTATAAGTAGAAAGCCGATAGGCTCGGAATGCAAAGGCAAATGGCAACGCATGTGACATATATTTGCATATTATTTATGTAGATACACATGCAAATATATTATTAAAGCCAGTTAAATTGTAGACAGGGCCCTATAAGATTTATGTACATACCTTTTCGTTGTTTGATGCATAATCCTTTTTTGTGTAGATATAAAAATCCAATCTTGTCTTTTTCATAAAGCTAGGCGCACACACGACGATTTTAGTCTGCCGATTCCTGTCTAGATTGTCTAGATGGATGTTTTCATCAAAATGTGGCGACTGGCAATCTATACTTGGTCATAATATTAGACCAAGTAGACTCGCGTACACGCGCGAGGCGCGAGCGCCGCGAGAAGGAAAACATGTCTGGGCAAGGGCTGCCTATATGTCTAAACCTGAATGGACCAACTACCGTAAAATCGTTGTGTGTGCGCCCGGCTTAAAGCAGGGCCTTTTGCCTGGTCCGTTAACTTACCTGTTGATATCACGTGCGCGGATTGCGAGAAACGGAAGAAATATTGGTCACAAATAAAACTAATGTAATTCCGAGGCCAGTTTTGGCCAGTAATTCTGAGGTCACAACTAATATCTGAAGTTTGTGCTTAATATTACCTTCCAAAGCGGATTTTAGCCTTGTAATTTCTAATAAAAAGATCGGTAATTTGTGCTTCATACAGATACCTTTCATACAGAGTTTAGCCTTATTCTAGACAAACAGTGCAGGCGAGCGTTAGGTGATTTCAGCACCTCTCTGGTTTTTGTGGGTAGCCTGCGCATGCGCGGCTAACCACTATGTAGTCGAAAAAGTGTCCGGATCTGTGTGTGTTTGTGGGTGCCACATCTTCGGCAATCGTCGGATATACGAAAGATGACGAACGGTACGTTCTACTTCCGGAAAATTTCGTTGTTTTCGAAGGACGGAAGCAACCGAAGTTACACGTTTGTCAAATTTTAAAGCGAAATTGAGTACTTTAAAGACGAAAAAGCGGTGATCGGTGAGCGTTGAATCTACAACTACAAAGTTACACTAATAGGAAATAAATAAAACATTAACTTATTCGGCAAATGGTAGTAACAAGTTGCCCTGTTTTATAACTTATGACTTATAATGCAATATTTCACCTGTCAATTTCTTGCTTGTGGACATGCAGCTATTAAACCAAAGACATTACCTTATTGCAAATGGTAGTCACAAGTTGCCCTTTTATAAATTACAATGCAATATTTCACCTGTCAATTTCTTGCTTGTGTACATGCAGCTATTAAACCAATACCTTTAATATTGCAAATGGTAGTAACAAGTTGCCCTATTTTATAAATTATAATTTGGCAAATGGTAGTAACAAGTTGCCTTGCTTTATAAATTATAATTCAATATTTCACCTGTCAATTTCTTGCTTGTGTACATGCAGCTATTAAACCAATACCTTTAATATTGCAAATGGTAGTAACAAGTTGCCCTATTTTATAAATAATTTGGCAAATGGTAGTAACAAGTTGCCTTGCTTTATAAATTATAATTCAATATTTCACCTGTCAATTTCTTGCTTGTGGACATACAGCTATTAAACCAAATACATTACCTTAATGCAAATGGTAGTAACAAGTGCTCTGTTTTATAAATTATAATTCGGCAAATGGTAGTGACAAGTCGCCCTGTTTTATAAATTATAATGCAATATTTCACTTGTCAATTTCTTGCTTGTGGACATGCAGCTATTAAACCAAATGCTTTGGAGTTCAAAAAACAAACTGTTAACAAAAGTGAATTTCAACTGATCAAAAATCTTTAAAATATTGTTCATGTACATAGATAAGTCCTTAAAAATTGTTAATGCGAAACGTTTGAAACAATTTTGGACTCTTTGTTATGTGACTGTAAAATGATCTGGCAAATCAAGTAGTTTATCCTCGATGAAATCTTTGTTAAGATCTTTCTCCTTCTAAACTAAGCTTTATGTTATCAGACGATGTGTGCCACCATCCCAGAACCTTACTCTCCTTTTTGTTCTGTTCACCTATTCTGCTTTAAAAATTTCATTTCCTATCTCTTGTAAAAATGCTTTTATATATGTTTTGATCTGTCCTAAAATGTATTTAATACAATAAAATATTATAATAAATCGACTCTGTTATAACTGTATTCAACCAGCTAACTATAGGGCATTTATTCCGTTGTCTATGGCATTAGAACATAAGACTAGAAAATAATATTTTATTGCATCAGTTGAAATTTACTTGCCACTATAGTGTTTTACTAATGTTTCACAGGCTACCCACATGTACGCATTGCGTACCTATTTTTATCAAGTGCGTGCCAAGCTACTCAATACGAATTCGTACATTTCGTGTTTGTTTCAACTTTAAAATACATACCTTATGCCATATAGTAAACTTTTTATTAAACTCGCTATTAAAGACCTCGCGCTCGGTTAAGAAGAAGTTATTATTATACCAAGGAGAACCTATTCTATTATTTCGGTATTGTAAAGAAATATTTTTATACTCGAGCAAAATCGAGGCCGAAAAAGCTTATTAAGTTAGGCAAATCAATAAATGGGGCAATATTCTTTTAAAATGAGGCGATATTTTGTGTTATCACCAGCTTGTGCAAAAATATGAAATTCATGCAATCTCAAAGTGAAAGTGATACTGCACATTGTGTCTGTGTTGCCATGATTAGTTTCCTTTTTATATCACTTTATAGTATTAGCAGTACGAGCTATCTACAATACTCGTCAATAGTCAGTAAATATCATTTTACAAACGCGGTTGTAACTCTATTAGAAGCAAGGAACATGACCGAACAGATACACATTTCATTTTTTTCTTGCGGTCCGAATTCATCTAACTTGGTTTCAGTTTATTTGTGTTGCTACGTACGATGGTACATGCATATTTGGAAGTTCCTGATACGCTTTTTCCCAGAAATAGGACAAATTAAAAACGTCGGCGTCGTAACCAGGCTGTTGTCTATAAGACTTGCAGTGTTCATGCATGCATCCTTCAGTTGCTGGCCGTTATTAAAACTCCACAAAGTCATGGGAATATTAACACTACATATTTATTGTTTTATATAAAATATTGTTCGAATTTTTTAATCATGTTACAAAGCTTTAGTACTCAGATCTTATACTCGTGAATTTGTTACGGTTATTTGGTGTAACAGTTAGCTACGCGCTTATTCATGCATATCCGAGAGACCTGGATGTTGATTCATTAGTTTGATTCCAGGAAAACGAATACTGGGAATTAGGAAATGTTAAATGACCCCTGCTGTGTACGACCCAAAGCCTCACCAGAGTGTTTCTTCATCTTTCCTATTTTTTTGGGGTCAAAATATGCCTTGGAATGAAGTTCAAAGGAAACGTTTAGCAGCAGAGAAAAGCGTGCTGGATCATTTCTTTCCTGGTTGTGTGAAATGGATCGACCCTATGGGCGATACAAAGGTGGAAGTGAAATTGAAAACCATGCAACAATGACAACGAATACACTCTTAGTATTTACATCGGCGATTTTCCGAATTCAGTCCCGGATATGGTGGTTGTGTCTTACCGAATCCGATGCCTGATTGGGGCTGTAGTTACTCTAACTATGACTATGTCTAATTTCCTGGGAATCGCGGGTATACTGTACTGGGGCCTGGGACCCGCGGGTAGAATATATAAAAACCTCCGGCAACCACGATTTTCATTAAGTAATTTGAGACTTTGTCGTTTGGAAAGATTGTAAAATGTATTAGTGCATGGGTCTCGATTAGTCGTTTTAGAAACAATTGTCAACGTACATGCATTCAGTTGGTAATAGTACTTTGCATTGGCTTTAACCATAGTGCGGAATTTCAAAACAGTACAAGCGCAGTAAAAAATGGACAAGAGTAGTAAAAAATGGACAAGAGTAGGGTATATACGATTTATTACGAAAGTGCCACAATATTCATGCAATACATGCAGGGAGGGAAATTTGACAAACGGTCTTTCAAATGTTTTTGACGTAGCTACTGACTGACAAAATTTCCTTAAATTTGTCCAAAACTTAATTTATGTAATTATGATATTCAAACGTGACAAAAGATACATTATACCCAGATCTCCAGTAACAACTGTATGAAATTGAATTTCTCAATAAGCCAAGCGCACACGACGCAATTTTTGTCGTACGATTTTAGCTGGTCGACTAAATCCTCGCGTGTGCGATGTCATTTTTAAGCGATTTTAGTCTGCAGACTGCAATCAGAATATATCAAAACAATTTAATATTTGCCGATTAAAATCAGTCGACTAAAATCGCTTCGTGTGCGCCTGGCTCAATGCTGCACGACGTAGAAAACCTGTCCTGGAGGTGACATTTTTTCTCGTGTAGCAAATGAAAATCAAAATCAATTGTAAAAAGCTTAACTTAAGATTAAGTTTCTATATATATACAAAAATTTACTCTATTTATTTTATTTACTTTCGTATTCTCAATTTTGATTGGTTAATTTACCTGCAGTTAACTACGTGCAAATAATACTCTGAGCATGCGCAAAATACTACGAGAGTGCTCTGATAGAGCATGCTCTATATGCATGCTCTATATTCTAATAAGATTTCGAGTGTCTATCTATCTATCTATTTGCGGCCAACGTTTTTGCAAATGGGTGTATATATATTTATATATTTATACAATATATACAATATAATACAACATAATATACAATATAATACAACATAATATACAATATAATACAGTATAATACAAGGATGCCCGGAAGTATGGAATTTTTTATTATTTGATAAAAACTGTTTTTTGAACAGTTTTTATCTCCCGGTTTTTTATCTCCTGATTGGTGGATCAAACACGGTCATACGTTATTATCGCTTTTCACAATGGCTGATTCGGCAATAAAAACACGTACTGCATGTTATATAAAGAATAATAGGCGCGTGTCTTTATGGTGTAATGATGCACGATAAGGGAATGTTCGGAGAATATGAGAGAAGCTTGTAAAACCCGAGGTGTAGTTGAGCCCAGTAATGCATTTTAGTATTTTATGTTCAACTTTTTTTGTGAAATTCTGGATTTTAAATATACCTTTCAACAAATGGCGGGAAAATTTTAAACTACCGTAATGTACATCATACGCAATATGTTTTTCTGCATACGTTT